TTACAGCGTGAAAAGCAATGGAGTTGCAAAAGTCCGCGAAAAAACACAGCACAAGTGGTACCCAAAAAAAATTTGACAAGGTTGGCAGGTCTGCAACATGGTATACAGGGTGCTCAACTGCAGACAGGAAAGTACTGCAGAGGGTCATCAACACAGCCCAGAAGACCACTGGCTGCTCTCTGCCAAGCCTGGAGGGCATTGCCAACTCTCGTTACCTCAGTAAAGCAGGCAATATCATTAAGGACTATTCTCACCCCAGTAGCCATCTGTTTGACCTGTTACCATCAGGCCGACGGTAACAGATCACATAAAACCAGGACAAATTGATTCAGGGATAGCTTCTTTCCCAGAGCTATCACCGTAGTAAACAACCACAAAACCAGTTGAACCTGTAAACCCAAACTACACATTTACTGTTTCAATATTGACCATGTGTAGTAACATTTATATGTGCTATCTGTGTTTGCTCAATATGCAAATTCTCTGCTTACAATAGTGACTTGCACAGAACCCACTAATGCTGCTACATCATAAATGCTGCAACTCTGTGTATATATTAGTAAATATTACTGTTGATTTTACATTTATATTATTCTGTATTATTTACTTGTATTCTTTTACATTTTGCACCAAACGGAGTGGCACTCATATTTCACTGTACCTTGTACGACAATGAAGGCTATTTTATTCTAAATGGAGTTTTCCTCTCCACTGTCACTACATGCTTGCTTAATATAAGGATTGCTGTAAAGACTCTGACACTAGTCAGTGACTCAATGCAATCTGCTTGGTTCCTTATAGGAAACTTTTTACTGATTGGCTTAACGATTTAAACTGTATTGGAATGCTTACTTTGTGAAGTGCCTTGAGGTGACTTGTCGTGATTTGGCACTATATAAATAAACTGCGTTGAACTGAACATAACTTCTTGAGCACACTGGAACAGCAAACCTGTTCCTGGTCAGTCCCTGACCTTGTTCCCTGCATGGAACCTAAGCAGCAATGTCCATTTTTCATACGTGTTCAGCAATTTTGTCATAAATGAACAAAAACTAGAATGCCTTTTAAAATGGCATTTAATATGTTGCGGTCACACTTTATAGTGTGACAACTGCAAATTAATTATGACTAATAAGATGTGATGGTTCCATATAAATATGAAATGTCAATCTGACAGATCTTTGAATGTTTAATCAGAAGATTATAGTTACTTTTACTTGTTCAGGGACCATAAACACACTTTGTATTAATTCAGACAGAGTCAAGTATATACAGGTCCTTCTCAAAAAATTAGCATATTGTGACAAAGTTCATTATTTTCTGTAATGTACTGATAAACATTAGACTTTCATATATATTAGATTCATTACACACACCTAATGTAGTTCAAGCCTTTTATTGTTTCTAATATTGATGATTTTGGCATACAGCTCATGCAAACCCAAACTTCCTATCTCAAAAAATTTGCATATCATGAAAAGGTTCTCTAAACGAGCTATTAACCTAATCATCTGAATCAACTAATTAACTCTAAACAGCTGTAAAAGATTCCCGAGGCTTTTAAAAACTCCCAGCCTGGTTCATTACTCAAAACCGCAATCATGGGTAAGACTGCCGACCTGACTGCTGTCCAGAAGGCCATCATCGACACCCTCAAGCAAGAGGGTAAGACACAGAAAGAGATTTTTGAAGGAATAGGCTGTTCCCAGAGTGCTGTATCAAGGCACCTCAGTGGGAAGTCTGTGGGACGGAAAAAGTGTGGCAGAAAACGCTGCACAACGAGAAGAGGTGACCGGACCCTGAGGAAATGTTGGGTATTTTTAAATCCTGAAAATGAACCTTGAAATGAACCACACAGGAGAGAAGTCAGTAGGGCTTTTTACGCTGCGGGAGAGGCAGCGGAGAGAGACTAGCTCAGAACCTGTTTAGGCCCTGTTCCAATCAACTCTCTAGTGCGTTCTCTCTCCAGCTGGTTTTATTGAAACACAGGTGACAAGGACAAAGGACAACCCATCACTCTCCACACTTAACCAATAACATTGTTACTTCTATTTTAGGTGGGACCTTCTAAAAAGGAAGTCTCAAGTTACTGGGTGGCTGCCAGCTTCCCTGTTGCCAAGCAGAGCACTCCACAAAGGAAGTTTTAAATTATGACTGACAGCCAGAAACTCAGTAACCATGAGGTGCCAGGGGTGCCGCACTCAAATACAAGCTGCGGCGCAGCAGCCACATGCAGGTCTCCGGCGCACAACGCAAGTATGGCCATAACATAAGAAAGACTCTACACAGAGGTTTTTCGATGTTGTTTTAATTCAACAAAACAAATTTTAAACCCAGGTGAACGTGCCTGCAAGTTTAGAAAAGAAAACAGCACTGATAGCATTCATATTTCTGGATGGGTATAAAATAAAAACAGAACTGACACGTTATTACCGGTGATTTGCATGTTTAGAAGAAAAGAACAGCGCTCACACAGCATTAATAAGCCCTGGATGATTAGAAATTAAAAACTGCACACATAACATGCCTGGTTAGTAAATAAAACACACTTGCCTACCAGAAAAAGTCATTCGCTCTCATCTTCCTCTTGCGCACTAAAGCCATTAAAGTCCTCTTCTTCAGTGTCGGAGTTGAACAGCCTCAGAAGAGCTTCGTCACATACCTTTTCTGTGGCGATGTCAGTGTCGCTGTCCGTGTTGCTGTCATCCCCGGGTGAAGCTGGCTTGAATGAGTTTTTCCCGCTGCCGTCTCCAGCGCCGAACCATGGATTCATTCATGCCAAGCTTACGTACGGCAGCACTGTTTCCCTCCTTTACTGCCAGATTGATGGCCTTCAGCTTAAATGCGGCATCATATGAACTCATACTGTAGTTACCATGATGAGGGGGTATGGGTTTGAAAAAGATTCTCCGTCGTGCCGGCTGCTTGCATGTGCTAAATTAAAATGAGCACTTTGTTCGATTTCCACTTTTGACTTCCACCTGTTTCACTTTCTGCTAAAGCGCCCCCTGCAGGTGAAGGAAAATCTTCAGTAAAGCCGCACCTCATTATAAGCCGCATGGTTCAAAGAGTGGGAAAAAAGTAGCGGCTTATAGTCCGGAAAATACGGTACAAAACCTTTCAAGTAATAATAAAAATGAATAAAGTAAAATTAAAGCAAAATATGATGAAAATACAAAATTCTAAATAGTCTGAACTGAAGTAAAAAATGTAAAAACAAAAATAACATTTCTTCCTGCTTTACTGATTTATTGAATAATTTTTAATGGCTATTTTGCTCACAAAAGTGAAATTTTGCTTCAAAAACTGCTAGTAAATGATGCTTTGCTGCGTTTTTTGACAATATTAACATAAGGTTGGAGGTTTGTCCTTTTTATCAGTCTCTGAATCAGCTGATACGCTGTTCTGACGGCTATGTGCAGCAGCATGGACGTAATTTTCACTTTAGAAGTGGAGGGGACACAACCGGCATGAGGTTGTATCTTTACAGTATGTTCTAATGGGAAACAGGCTTCAGCACAAACGGTTGTTTTCCGCTTGGTTCTAGAGCTCAACCAGTGTCAATTTAATACAGAGTAATATTGTTTTGAGATGGTAAAAAGTGCAGGGGTCAAAACTTGACTTTGGAGAAAGTGGTGGACATGTGCCCCCCCCCCCCCGGCCCAAAAAAAATTACGTCCATGCGCAACAGAGAGAAAGTGAGATATTTAAAAATCATGTTTTATTTCTAAATGAGAAAACTGAATTTAGTTTAAACTAAATCACAACAGATGTCTAGAGTTATGAAGCCTGTGTTCATATTCATAAGAATATTTTACTGAGGATGTTTTTCTGAAACCAGGACTGTATAACCAACGTCACCCCATCTTCTTTAGAAGCACGTCTTCACCCCCCTCCAGCTGCAGCCGCTGATCAAAGCTGACAGAGAGGGGATCCGCTCTGCAACCCGAGGAATTAATTCACATATTTCTTGTAGAACACGTCGGCTGAAAGCAGGGTATCCGCGGGTCCTAAAAAGTCTTGAAAAGTCTTAAATTTGCTTTTCCAAATTTAAGGCCTTAAAAATCCTCAAAAATGACAAATAATCCTTAAATAGAGTTTCCAAAGGTCTTAAATTACCAAAGACCCAATAAACAAGATTATTTTGTTTCTATAAAATTTCCGTGACTTTCTAGTTAGTGTTCAGCATTTTTTGTGTCTGTTGTTGGCGTAAGCGGAACTGTACTCATTCAGTTAGTTGTGAAAGGGGCTATTTTTAGATGAGCACATTAGCTGGTTAAGCTAGTGGGAGCTTGCGCCATGGAGAAGTGCAAGTTTAATGTTAACTGGATGGCTAATCCAACATTCGTAACATGGTTAGCACCGGTTCCAGACAATAGCAGGAAATCACAGCTTCAATTTAATTTTAAAAAATTGCTTAAATTTGGTCAAAGTGGCCTTAAAAAGGTCTTAAAAAGTCTTAAATTTGGCTCCCTTTAACCTGCAGATACCTTGTGAAAGATCTGTGCAATAATCAGATTTTTATTTTACTTCCACAAAATGCTAATTTTTAGATTAGACATTACAGAAAACAGGGACAGCTTGCCATCAAATTTATAAGCTGTCCCTCGTAAAGCTTGGTTTATGCTTGACGCATTCACTTTCCGCGCGGTGATGCGGCTCGCAGATGGAACGCGCTTCACAACTCGCAGTGTTTATGGTTCATGCGGCTTGTCTCTGCGGTGAGCCAATATTCTCCCAAACTGAACGGGGCAGCATGGAGCTCTACGGCATGCATCCAACACTACACCATAGTAGAAGTAGAAATTACTGTTTACAACATGGCATTTCAGCATTTTTTAACAGCGTTCTCGTCTTTTCCGACAGTGCGAGCTATTTCTCTCCAAGATTTATTTATATATGTTGATCACGGTGATCTCTGAGAGCTGAATCATACAAATGTCTGTATTTCCGAACCTCTGCCATACTAGTTCTTGCCGGTCCGCCATGTTTTTCCACATCCGTCTGTCCGTCCGCGTGGTTAGAAAATTTCCTAGGTGCACGTTGCGGAAATTCTGGGCCATGCGGCGGTGCGGTGGAGGGGCGTGGTTGTTAAAATGACGCAACTTTTCCGCGCGGAGCCGTGCGGACCTCGTGGACGCATCAAGCATAAACCAACCTTTAGTCAGGCTGGCTGCTTCCAGGCAAGCAACTGTCAAGTGTGTCGCAAGAAACTTCTTGGAGATCCTGTCATAGGGATTCTATCTCCTTGTTGGCCTGGGAATGCCACTGGTGTAGCTGGTGGAGGAGGTTGCTGGGGAAAGGATGTTTTGGGCCTTTCTGGAGCTGCTAACTCCATGACCTGTGATTAGATAAGTTGGTGAAACTGGATGGATAAAGCGTGAGACAATGTGAAACTACAGTTCTGGTTTCATTCAGAGCCAGGCTGAGATGAACTTCATACAAACAGAGTTTTAGCTGCCTTGTTTTGCGTGTTGGAGTGACGTACGCGACAAACAGTTCTTCACTTTCTGGAGGAGAGTATAATGATTTTCTGTAATGATTTATGAAGAAATTCCTTAACAAAATGAAAAACTGAACCCAGTTCATATTTATATAGATGGTAAAGTGTAGTTATACTGAATTTCAACAATTTTAATGCCAAGTCTGGCCAATACCTTTAAAACCACAACAAGAAGAAGCGCTAAAAGCCTTTCTTCTAAAAGAAAATATGTTTGCGCCATTGCCAGACGCCATTTTTGACTACAGCTAAAAAACTACTACGTCGGTGCAGTCTGCATTTCCGTCTTTCTTTTTTTGATTGGTTATTTTTGAGCTGGCAAGTCATGCCCGTAATGCGCCTCTCTGCCTCTGAGTTACCAGACTAGTTCCCTGTGTAGAATTAAACAGAGGACCAGTCTGGCAGGCCAGGCTACGGTGGAGTATTAGTACAACTACTGCTCACAGCTCTACAGGCTTGATTGTGACTTTGCATTCACTCACTGGCTGAAATATGTAGAAACGCAAATAAGTGTGGTAAATATAACTAATCTGATTATCTGATGAGGGCCAGCAAATTTGTGTGAAATTCCTTTTACTTAATGTTTTTTATTTGTGATGCAAATTGAAGCAGCTTGCTAACCATATCCCACAGGCCACTGGTTGAAAACATCTGATTTAACTCAAGGAGTGACTTTTTATTCTATTTATTTATTCCTCCTTATGTCATCTTCTGTACAGTCACACCTCCTAGAGTCTGATCCCTGCAGATTACAAGGTCTAACGTTTTACTTTTAATCCAATTTTAGTAGTTGTGAATTTCTTGACCAAAGTTTGCTTGATGTCCTGAGTCTTGAAACAGTAAATAGTTGGATTCACTGCAGCAGGAAGTAAACTGTACAGCAGTATTAATACAATGCGAGTGTCCAAACTGAAAGAAAAGCCAACAGTACTAGCAACATAAACAAAGCATCTGGGCAAATAGAAAAGACCGGTTATGAATATTTGTGGTGTGCAGGTTGATAAGGTTCTTCTACGCCCTGCAGAAGTGGATATTTTCAGGATAACCACAATAATGGAAGCATAGGAAAATATGATAAATGCAAGAGGCAGCAAAAGACAAAACATGGCAATGCAAAGACCAACGACCTGGGCATTTTTAACATCATTTCCACATGCTTGACTCATTATGGAAATGTGGTCACAATAGCACTGTGCAATTACATTTGACTTACAATAAAGCAAATCAAGGGCTTGAAATATTGTAGTCAGCATCAAAGGCAGTGGTATTAACCAAGCTACTCCACAGAGAGCAGATATGATGTTGTTTGTAATCAAGACAGGATAACGGAGGGGGAGACAAATTGCAACAAATCTATCAAGAGCCATAACTAAAAGGATAAAAGAAGTCGCTACTCCCAAATAATGAACAAAAAACATTTGTGTGAAACATCCAGAAAAAGAGATGATGCTGTCTCCAAACCAGTATTTTGATATGATCTTTGGGAGTGTGACGGTGCCAAATGTTAAGTCATTGAAAGCTAGATGACAGAACACCAGATACGTGGGTTTCTGAAGGGACTTCTCACTGAACACAATGGATAGAATTGAAATATTTCCCACAATAATAGTTAGGTAGACCAAAAACAGGATAGCTGATACATGTCCGTAGTACTGTGGGGGAAGTCCAGGGAATCCGAGGATGATGAAGCTTCTCACTCTCGTCATATTGGCGTTAAATATGACCACCATTTTCATAAACTCCTAGAAGGAAGAATAAAACATATACTTTTATTATTTTAATATGTTTTACATGTGCACAAAACATGACTTTAACACATAAACAAAAATATTATTATTTCATTGTGTCATTTTAAACAAATTTTATAAACTAACATGTTGAGAACAGACTGTTGTAAAATTTCCGTAGTTACAACTGCTTGTTTAAAACTTTTGTGTGTGTAAATAACAAAGTCACTGCAACGTATCTGTTTACATTAAAGCCATTTTTTTGGAAAACATGTTAAATGAATTCTAAGAGAATGATTTAATTATCTTGCAAATAATATCCCATACCTAACAAAGCAACAGTGACATGTTAGATATGGATTCTAGTGTTAATGTTTCTCAGTCAGCTCCACGAGCCTTACCTCATCGAAGCAGATCAGAGGCTGAATCCTGATAGCAACGGCATGCTCAGGTTAATATCTGCAAGTTGTTGTGTCCACCCACGTACATCCTCAGAGACTGGAAGTGTCTGATGACACAAGTGACATTGATTGCAATACTTGAAAATTAACTAACAGATATACAATCTTTGTGCATGGGATAAAAGCTCTACAGCCTCTTTTAATTTATCTTTTTAATCCATAATCTTTCCTATGACGTAATACTATAATGTTTGTCCCTCCTTTATTGAGCCATTATTTTAGCATTTACAATGTTGTCATTTCTTCCAGTAAAGTTCAGATTATTAAAAGTAAAGGGTTACATCTTTGGAGGGAGGAATCAAACCCCTATTCACCCATGTCTAGATTTAGTAAATCCTCTGAAAACGAGGTCACAGCTGAGATGTAAAGCAGTGACCTTTGCTGTTGTGTGAGAACAGTGCAAACCACAACAGAAGGGAAATGATTGGGTCAGAAAAGGCCAGTCTCTTTTATGTCAAATGGAAATTGTGCATTTATGGCCTTGCCTATCTTAGCTTGCTACAGCAGAAGGCTGTATCTATTTTGTGGCCAGAAGAGAGCATAGCACATCTCAGGGTATCCGCGGGTCCTTAAAAAGTTTTAAAAAGTCTTAAATTTGCTTTTCCAAATTTAAGGCCTTAAAAATCCTTAAAAATGACAAATAATCCTTTAATACAGTTCCCAGAGGGTTTAAATTACCAAAGACCCAATGAACGATTCTTTTATTTCTATAAAAATTTCTTGAATTTCTAGTTAGTGTTCAGCATTTTTTGTGTATGATATTGGCATAAGCGGAACCGTACAAATTCAGTTAGTTGTAAAATGGGGCTATTTTTAGATGAGCACACTAGCTGGTTAAGCTAGTGGGAGCCTGCGCCATGGGGAAGTGCAAGTTTAATGGTAACTGGATGGCTAGTCCCACGTTCGCGACGTGGTTAGCACCGGTTCCAGGCAATAGATGGAAATTATAGCTTAAGTTTAATTTTAAATAATAGCTTACATTTTGGTCGAAGTGGCCTTAAAAAAGGTCGTAAAGTCTTAAATTTGGCTCCCGTAAACCTGCAGATACCTTAGCTAGCATAAGCTAACCGTTAGTGACTTCACACCATGGCAGAACACGTTCAGGCTTGTGTTTATCTGTAGAGATAAAACATCAGCATTTAATTGTTTACACAAGAGAGAAGAGCGAATGAAGGCCACAGAAGAGTTGTGTTGCTGTTAGCCAATCAGAATAGTAATCAGTAATGGGCTGAAGCAACACGATGCTGCCGAAGGTCCCCCAGCCAATAAGAAGCCAGATATGATGCTTAAAGGGACTTTACGGAGTTTTGAATTTTTATGCTCGCGATTGCCCCCTAAGGCCAAAAGCGTAACGGCTGCTTCAATAGTAGGCTCGTGCACGAGGCGCACATGCTGTACGTGCACACTCCTTAACGAAAATAACAGCTGAGACAGTCCCGTGTGTGTGTGTGTGTGTGTGTGTGTGTGTGTGTGTGTGTGTGTGTGTGTGTGTGTGTGTGTGTGTGTGTGTGTGTGTGTGTTTGTGTGTGTGTGTGTGTGTGTGTGTGTGTCCCGGAGGACAGAGGACAGGAGAACGTGCAGCTAATTAATTAATTAATTTGGTTCTGTACCTTTCTCTTCAGCACAGCCGACAAAGGTTTATGATGGGTCAGTCCTCCTGCATGCTCAGATCATTCCCTTCCCTTGCTTGAAAAATTGTTCCAAAATGAAAGTTGAACCCACATCTTTTTTATCTGTGAATTCAATGCCGTTCGGCGAGCCTCAAATAAAAATTTGGGCATCTTACTGTAAAAAAATATACCATTAATGTAAAAAAGAAACTCTAAATAAACTATGTTCACATCCAGAATCGAACCCAGGTCTTCTGTACGAGAATCCGACATTTAACTAGGTGAGCTAAAGCACCAGTGACATCTATTGTAACTGTAACATTTATATCCTTGATGACAGCTGAAACAACGTTCAAAGAACGGTTCGGAGCGAAAATGGCTATTTTGTTGCTAATTTGCAGGAAATATCTAGAAGAAATTAGCTAAGTGTCCTCAGAAATGTAGCTAGCTTTGTCACTAGGTGTTAGGAACAGCGACAAAGTGGCACTGCCTCTCTCTCTGCTGCTAAAGCTACGGATAGCAAATGCTACGGGCGATGCCTGAGCGTGAAAGCGCATGAAGCAGCCTGCTCGACCCGAGCATCTCTCTTTTTCTGTGATTTTACAGAAAAAGAGGCAATCACAGTAAAAATGCCAGGGCTCATTCTACAGGACCAGGGCATTGCAGGAGAATGTATGAAGAAGAAATGTATTATTTCTATACATGTTTTGGCTGTCAAACTTCCATAATGCCCCTTTAACACAGAGCTCATCACCGTCTTCTTTTGGGTGTGCTTGTTTGATTAAAATACTCACTTGGTGTGGAAGAAAATCTGTGGGTTTGGGGTGTGTGGGGCACTAGACATATGCTGATGGGAGTCTTAAGGAGACAGGCTAACTCAAAAGAAGGCCGAGGGCTACTATCCAGCATGTTTTAGTTGTTTTGCTGCTCCAAGACATCCATTTTACTGACCTTTTCAGCAGCTCATCTATCTCCGTTAATCACCCACTGAATAAAATTCGTCAGACACTACAGAAATATATTCGATTGTTGTAGCATGCTTTTTGTAGTAGAAGAAAACTACAGCAACTTAACTTTCACTTTATTTCTAATAGAGCTGAAACAAATCATCGAATGATTCCAATGGTTTGATTCATTAAACTCCTCGATTCATTTTCTTTACTGATTTGAAGCATTGTTAAATGTGCGCACCACAGTTTAAACACATTTAACTGGCACACAATGTGGTGATCCGGGTGCTGTGGAGGAAACAGAATAACCGGCAAAGACAGATACCTCTGACAAAAGCAGAGACGGTCCAAAGTTTAAAATCAAGAGTGAAACTACTAGCAGAATTGCTAATGCTAAGCTAGCGCGTAGTATGCTCATGATCAAGTGGGGTTCAGAAAAAATGTGATGGTTGTTGATATGGAAATTTTATGTTTATTAATTCCTGATCATTGATTCAATCAACTGAATGTAGTATGTGTTGCTCTATGCCTCTTTGCATGCCCACTTATTCGGACACACCCACACAAGCCACACCCACCCACACACATTCTTGACTTCTCTCTCTCTCTCTCTCTCTCTCTCTCTCTCTCTCTCTCTCTCTCTCTCTCTCTCTCTCTCTCTCTCTCTCTCTCTCTCTCTCTCTCTCTCTCTCTCTCTCTCTCTCTCTCTCTCATTCCTTTCTTACCTCTTGGTATAAATAAACTCTGTGACCAGATGTTCGGGGCATTTTGCCTCGTGCATTGTGCCAGTTATAACTGTTTGACTTGTCTGTTCATTGTCTCCTTTTTCTTTTCGACTACAGGAAATGGGTTATTGATAAACATATTGATAAAATCCATGACAGTTGTGAATGACTAAACTCTATAAGGGGAAGAAAAATTCCCACCACCCCGTTTATTTGTAGATGTCTGCAGCACTATAGCAGAGCAGCAGCTGACTGGAGCCAGGGTTGTTGCCACTAGTCTGCTCCACACACCGCGGCAGGCATACGTCAAGCCGTTGTAGCATGTAATTCACAAACGCTTACATTTGAATACAGTTTAGACTGGATTATGTTGCCAACCCGTACATAATAAAATGTATATGTCAGCATTACATTGTCACCAGTAGAAATGTAAGTGTTATTAACATTTCCAGTAGCTTATTACCAAACGTGTTAATGAAATAATTAAATTCTACTGATCTTATGTGGAAATATTTACATATGTTATTTTGACTAGGGTGAGGGATTTTAATAAAAACCTAAAATGTTAATGAAATATAAGTCAAATTTTGTTCCATTAAAAATTTACAGTGGGCAAAAAAGTATTTAGTCAGCCACCGATTGTGCAAGTTCTCCCACTTAAAATGATGACAGAGGCCAGTAATTTTCATCATAGGTACACTTCAACTGTGAGAGACAGAATGTGAAAAAAAAATCCATGAATTCACATGGCAGGATTTTTAAAGAATTTATTTGTAAATCAGGGTGGAAAATAAGTATTTGGTCAATAACAAAAATTCAACTCAATACTTTGTAACATAACCTTTGTTGGCAATAACAGAGGTCAAACAATTACTATAGGTCTTTACCAGGTTTGCACACACAGTACCTGGTATTTTGGCCCATTCCTCCATGCAGATCTTCTCGAGAGCAGTGATGTTTTGGGGCTGTCGCCGAGCAACACAGACTTTCAACTCCCTCCACAGATTTTCTATGGGGTTGAGGTCTGGAGACTGGCTAGGCCACTCCAGGACTTTCAAATGCTTCTTACGGAGCCACTCCTTTGTTGCCCGGGCGGTGTGTTTGGGATCATTGTCGTGTTGGAAGACCCAGCCACGTTTCATCTTCAAAGCTCTCACTGATGGAAGGAGGTTTTGGCTCAGAATCTCACGATACATGGCCCCATTCATTCTGTCCTTAACACGGATCAGTCGTCCTGTCCCCTTAGCAGAAAAACAGCCCCAAAGCATGATGTTCCCACCCCCATGCTTCACAGTAGGTATGGTGTTCTTGGGATGCAACTCAGTATTCTTCTTCCTCCAAACACGACGAGTTGAGTTTATACCAAAAAGTTCTACTTTGGTTTCATCTGACCACATGACATTCTCCCAATCCTCTGCTGTATCATCCATGTGCTCTCTGGCAAACTTCAGACGGGCCTGGACATGCACTGGCTTCAGCAGCGGAACACGTCTGGCACTGCAGGATTTGATTCCCTGCCGTTGTAGTGTGCTACTGATGGTGACCTTTGTTACTGTGGTCCCAGCTCTCTGCAGGTCATTCAGCAGGTCCCCCCGTGTGGTTCTGGGATTCTTGCTCACCGTTCTCATGATCATTTTGACCCCACGGGATGAGATCTTGCGTGGAGCCCCAGATCGAGGGAGATTATCAGTGGTCTTGTATGTCTTCCATTTTCTGATAATTGCTCCCACAGTTGATTTTTTCACACCAAGCTGCTTGCCTATTGTAGATTCACTCTTCCCAGTCTGGTGCAGGTCTACAATTATTTTCCTGGTGTCCTTCGAAAGCTCTTTGGTCTTGGCCATAGTGGAGTTTGGAGTCTGACTGTTTGAGGCACAGGTGTATTTTATATAGATAATGTGTTCAAACAGGTAACATTAATACAGTTAACGAGTGGAGGACAGAAAAGCTTCTTAAAGAAGACGTTACAGGTCTGTGAGAGCCAGAGGTTTTCCTTGTTTGAAGTGACCAAATACTTATTTTCCACCCTGATTTACAAATAAATTCTTTAAAAATCCTGCCATGTGAATTCATGGATTTTTTTTTCACATTCTGTCTCTCACATTTGAAGTGTACCTATGATGTAAATTACTGACCTCTGTCATCATTTTACGTGGGAGAACTTTCACAATCGGTGGCTGACTAAATACTTTTTTGCCCCACTGTAAATATAAATATCAGCTGGGAAAACAGAAACTAGATGACACAAATTTTATACACGTTAATGAACCTTTTATAATTTATTTGTTTTATTTTTATATTTTTACCAGCAGACCACAGTCTTGTTTCACGTGAAACATCGTGAAATAGAATATTCGATTAATCAATGGAGTATTTGATAGAATATTTGAATACTAAAATATCTGATAGCTGAAACCCTAATGTCTAACATTGTTTCCTCTAACTGCCATTGACCCCAGGTTCTTTTTAGTGCTTTTCTGAGTCAGAGGGCTGCGAAGTGCTGTACACGATATTCAGTCATTCATCCATTCACTCACTGATGGACATGAGCTGCCAGTGGTGTGCCATCAGGACCAGCAAGGTATTCTCAGCTGGCCTAAATATGATCAGAGTCACTAACCCATATCTACCACCTTAATTATGTTTGTTCAATAAAATTATATGAATTTAATTTCAGTAGTTTAAATAATTAGCTTTTTGGGAGCATTTTTCTTAGCTCTGCCATCGTTAGTAAATATCTGTGGATTATCTGTGTTTCATCCAATCAGGTTTGTTGTCAGGAGGAGTCTAATCTGCTCAAAGTTTTCAGAACCAGCAGAGAAGGCCTTTGTTAGTTATACTATATAGCAGGGGAGCTGTTTTCTCAACCAATCAGCTTTCAGACTCACCTCGCTGGGCCAGCTAGCTGGCTCACAATAGCGGCAAGACTTTTCCGCCCTCCGATACGATGATCACAGTACCAAGTTTTGGTAGCAGTACGTCATCACTAATCTGCACATGATAAAACTTTGTAGTTTATATTTTATGCCCAAAATGGCTGACAGAGAAGGAGAACAGGATTTGGTCTCAGAAAATATTAAAACTCCATGTTCACACTAGTCACTTGCTTGTGAATGGAACTAAAACACAGAGATCAGCTTTATAGTCATTGAAGTTTTCCTGCATAAAGAAAGGAGGATGGATAAAAAATCAGCATCTCAAGTGAGTAAATGTATTTTATTTATATTAATTTTTTAATCATGAATAAAAATGTAAATATTGATCATGAACTGCTGATATACAGTTGTGGCTATAGTTTCAAGTTGTCTTGACTGGGTTTCTTGGTTTGATAACATCTGTATTCATTCTGAATTAGCAAAATGGCTCTTAGAATTATTTATTAATTGATGAAATAACAGCAATACGTAATCTCTAGATTAAACCAAACCCTGCCACTAGCTCCCTCACCCCCCTTCCACTCAATGCTCTCCATAAACATCCTGCTAATATAAAATATTAAATATGGCAAATCTGGGTTTAGGTGGTCTGAAAAAGAGCTCTGTAATACCATATTACGTTTGTGTATAATATTGGTGGATTGTAATAAAGTCAGTAAACCTGCACTGAGGGCCAAGTTACCAAGTGCACGGCCTTCCACTTTGAGCTGTAGCCACAGCTGCCGTGGACAACACTGACAAAAGCAAGGCTGCTCTACACTGGTACCACCAATGCCTTCCCTAACCCTAACCACAAGCGGCAGGCAAGGAGGATGAAGTGTCAACCGGCAATCCTCTGGTTACAGGGCGAACTCTTAGACCCTTGTGCAACCATCGCCCCTTGTAATTTAACATTAGCCCACTGAATGTAATAGTATAGTGATTGCCAAAAAGATAATGAAATAAATTTAATAAAAATAACTAATCTGAATATCTGGTGTGAGTAAGCAAATTGATGCTAAATTCCTTTTTTTTTCCTTCATTTTTTCATGTTCTAGACATTTTGTGGGGTGAATGGAACCAACTTGCTGGCTATATTTTTGCCCCACGAGTCACCAGTTAGTAGCATCTGATATATGTTTAGGAGTGACTTCATATGTTTTTATTTTTTCTCATATAGACGTGATCTTCTGTACATTCACATGTAGGGTCCAATTTTTTACTTGTAATCCAAATTTAGAAGTTTTGAATTTCCTGACCAAAGTTTGCTTGATTTCCAGAGTCTTGAAACAGTAAATGGTTGGATTCACTGCAGCAGGAAGTAAACTGTACAGCAGTATTAATACAATGCGAGTGTCCAAACTGAAAGAAAAGCCAACAGTATTAGCTACATAAACAAAGCATCTGGGTAAATAGAAAAGACAGGTTATGAATATTTGTGGCGTGCAGGTTGATAAGGTTTTTCTACGCCCTGCAGAAGTGGATATCTTCAGGATAACCACAATAATGGAAGCATAGGAAAATATGATAAATGCAAGAGGCAGCAAAAGACAAAACATGGCCATGCCAAACGTGGTTACCTGGACTATTTTAACATCATTTCCACATGCCTGACTTGTTATAGAAAAGTGGTCACAATAGCACTGTGCAATTACATTTGAATTACAATAAAGCAAATCAAGGGCTTGAAGTATTATAGTCAGCATCAAAGGCAGTGGTATTAACCAAGCTACTCCACAGAGAGCAGATATGATGTTGTTTGTAATCAAGACAGGATAACGGAGGGGGAGACAAATTGCAACAAATCTATCAAGAGCCATAACTAAAAGGATAAAGGAAGTCACTGCTCCCAAATAATGAACAAAAAACATTTGTGTGAAACATCCAAAAAAAGAGATGATGCTGTCTCCAAACCAGTATTTTGATATGATCTTTGGGAGTGTGATGGTGCCAAATGTTAAGTCATTCAAAGCTAGATGACAGAACACCAGATACATGGGTTTCTGAAGGGACTTCTCACTGAACACAGTAGATAGAATTGAAATATTTCCAACTACAATAGTTAGGTAGACCAAAAACAGGATAGCTGATACATGTCCGTAGTACTGTGGGGGAAGTCCAGGGAATCCGAGGATGATGAAGCTTCTCACTCTCGTCATATTGGCGTTAAATATGACCACCATTTTCATAAACTCCTAGAAGGAAGAATAAAACATATACTTTTATTATTTTAATATGTTTTACATGTGCACAAAACATGACTTTAACACATAAACAAAAATATTATTTCATTGTTCATTTTAACAACGAATCTAGACTAAAAACAGCATGGACATTCTGTAGTTTCATTGGCATGTTTATACCTTAAAGTTTTGTGTAATAAAAAAAAGTTCAAGCAGTGATTCAATTACAATCAAAACTCTTTTAGACAGCCAAGCAAGCATTTCTTCTGAATTTAACTTTGGTTATTTGTTATCTAACAACTAAGCTCTTGTACTTGAACTATATGATATCAGAAATGGATTCTAGTGTGAGTGTTTCTCAGTCAGCTCCAGGAGCCTCACCTCGTCAAAGCAGATCAGAGGCTGAAACCTAACAGCAAAGGCTGAGTAACAAGGTTAATATCCGCATGTTGTGTCCAACCAGACACATCCCCGGAGACCGAATGTCCCTCATGAGTCTTTACATTTCCTCGATTGCAAATGAACTGACACAGTTATGTAATCCTCTTGCAATCTAAATGGGAATAAAAACTAGTTTTCTTTTTAACCTACAAACTCTGTTCTAATGTAATACCAGCAACAAGTTCCAAAGGATGTTTTTTCCCCCTTTTTGTTCACTTTTAGCACTTATTGCATTGACATTTGTTTCGGTAATATTCAGTTAAACATAGTTTTGTTTTGTTTTGAAAAGAACAGGCCACAGCTGTGATTTAAAGTAGACTTTCTTGTTCTTGTTTTCTTCCACTGAATCATAAAAAAAAGAAAAGAAAAATATAAATTACATTTATTTTATTTTATTTTATTTTTAACATTTCCCCAACATCTACTTATGTCATTAGTTTAGAAAAAAGACATATTTTCTCTCTCTTCCATAGTTGGGGTGGCTGACCAGTACTGTGGCCACCGGTTGATTGGTGCCTGTTGTGGCAGCTAACTCCAACCAGCTGGAAGACACCAGCGGTGAAGAATGCTGTCAAACAGATGGAGTCCTATTGGGTCTTTTTGGCTAGTAGGTCTCTGGAGAAAGCTGAAGCAGAATAAGGCTCGGGTCATCACTGAGGCAAAAACCAATGCGTGGGAGGAGTTTAGTGAGACAATTGACATGGACTTCTGTACGGCTTTGAGGAGATCAAGGTCCACTATCTGGCATCTCAGGAGTAGGAAGCAGTGCCCTACCAATACTATTTATGGTTGTGGTGATGGTGTATTGCTCACCTCGCTTCCAGACATTGTGAGTCACTGGACAGAGTACTTTAAAGACCCACAGCACACCTTCCAATGAGGAAGAGGAGCCTGGGGACTTTGGGTCGGGCTCTGAGGTCACAGATGTGGTCAAAAGCTCCTCAGTGCAAAGGATCCAGGGGTGGATGAGATCAGCCCAGAGTTCCTTATAGCTCCAGATGCTGTGGGGCTGTGTTGGCTGATGCAGCTCTGCAATATTACGTGAACGTCAGGGGCAGTATTACTGAACTAGCAGAGGGCTCGTGTAGCTGCCATCAGAGACAGTTATACGATTTTCTTTTTACGGTTGAAAGAGCAATTTATATTTAAGGAAAATATGGTTTATTTGGGTTTGTTTTAAGCATACATTTAAATGGGCATTTATTTTTATTTTCTTCGAGGTGGAACTAATGTTACATATGTTGTTGCGGTCCGGTCTGTATTTGTGACAAGTCATGGCGATCATAAATACCGTAAATCCTCTTAATACAGGCCCGGGTCTGTATTTGACTCAAGCTCATCAAGCTCCAGGCCTTTATTGGAAGGAGGACCAGAATTAGAGGCAGGCCTCAATTTCTATTTGAGCCAAATTAACTAATGGTTCGCTGGAGTTTTTGACAATTAAAATTGCACCCACATTTTCCAAGTTAAACACATTTCTTTTAACAACGGTAGTTTCTGCTTCAGCCCTCTCCCCCCTCCTCCTTCGCAGCGGCCGCAAACTCACTGATGCACCTGCAGCCTCTGAGTTTCTGCTGCTCTAAACATTAAAATAATTATTTCATTTTCTGTTCCTCACTTCTAATTACCTTCAATGGTGTCTGTTGCAACCACCAGGTACAAAAACTAATTTGTTTTTTTTTTTGGACTATTTTTCTGTACTGCCTGTTTATTATCTTCCTGCATCTCCTCTCAATCCTAAAGAAAAACTGCTACCTGGGTTCATATTCACCTTATGAGTTACCTTTGAACTGCAGTTCTAAAAGATCTACCGACCGCAAAAACAGCGGAGTGCGCGCTGCTTGCCAGCCACGGGAGGCAACGCGCTGTGCCAGGGCGTTGGTACTGACACCCGCCTTAAAACGGACATTTAACCAAATTGTGACGTTTACCCTCTTGCAATTTAACCTTCCCCTCACCCCCATCCTAACCTTAACCAGCTTGCGCATGCAAAGCTCTGATTGTTGACGCGCTCCAGACGTCTGCGTCCTGAGCATGGCCACAGTAACATTATCAAATCAGGTGTCGCCACCTCAAAAACTAATTTAACACGCAATCGTTCATGTCGTTTCATTTCCTTTTATGTTTTTTGTTTTTTTATTCTGTTATTGGTGCTTGATGCGTTTCACTGCTGTGGATCGGGGCGCATAACCTGTCACCTGCTGACAGCAGGCTGCTGTCTTTTCCGTGGACTGCAACTTGCCAGTCATTATCACGTGACAGCGACTAGTCGATGACAGGCATAAAAAGTCACCATAGAGCGGTAAAGTCGACTAGTTCATACAACCCTGCTCCCCAGAGTGTTCTGCAGCATAATCAGCACGTTCTCTTTGAACTTGATATCAAATTTTCGCCTCCTCTTCGTCTCCGCACGGTTAAAGTTACCCTCGCGGTCTATCACTGGCAAATCAAAAGTGAGACGGATGACACAACCGCCCCCCGTACTTGCTTGTTACCACATTCCACCCGGCCACAATAAAAAACCGGCCATTATTCACCTCCGCCGATTCCCGACACCGACCAAAATATGATACCCGGCAGTTAATTAAATACAGGCTAATATTAGAGGATTTATGGTAGTAGACCTTTAAAAGCACACCTACTTTATGATCGTACTGGTCCACAGCCTCACACCCAATCACATTCTGACAGTGAAGTCATCAATTGTTTTGCCACCTCCTGGTGTGTTCACAAAGGAAGATCTTTATCTTCGAAAGAGATGGCACCGGATACAGTATTTGGCAAACGAATTTTGGAATAGGTGGAAGAGAGAGTACCTGCTAAATCTGCAGCAAAGAGAAAAGTGGCACAAGAAGCACAGAAATGCGAGGATTAATGACATAGTGATCTTGATGGACAATAATATTCCCAGAAACGAGTGGAAGCTGGCCAAGGTCACTAAAGTGTATCCCAGTGACGACGGATTTGTGAGGAAACTCTAGCTTCTAATGAGTGATGCTGTACTGGACAATCAAGGACGAAGGCTCAGCAAGCCAGTGTATCTTGAGAGACCAATTCATAAAACAGTAACCCTGCTTGAAGCTGAATAGTTTACTTTACTTTAGCTTTGATTAGAAATCTCCAGTGATTTGGTGGGAGTGTCGCTGCCATCAGAGACAGTTATACGATTTTCTTTTTATGGTTGAAAGAGCAATTTATGTTTAATGAAAATATGGTTTATTTAGGTTTGTTTTAAGCATACATTTAAATAGGCATTTATTTTCTATTCTTCGAGGTGGAACTAATGTTATATATGTTGTTGCGGTCCGGTCTGTAATTGTGACGCACTTCAGTCAACGGAGGGCAGCGTTCTTATTGACAAGACGTGCACTTGGTAAGGCACGTTAAGCTAAAGGAGACCATTTTCCTCCATCAAGAATCAAGAGTTCTACTGCAGGATGTAACCTTTCTTAACCCCTTTGAGTTCATGTGGCCAATGAGTTCTCACGGCATGGTCAATGGCACGAACGTGTTAATAAATGCCAGTTAACGAAGAGCGCCTTGTGTCCGTGATTCAACTTGAAGAGAGTTACAGCTTGTTCTCGTTACACTCCACCAAGATTGTTCTTTGTCACCGATTATGTTTAACTTTCATAAAAAGTATCGCTAGGTGCAGTCAAAATGTTGAGAGGTTCCATTTGGGTGGACTAAGGATCAGGCCTGTTTTTGCAAATGATGTGGTCCTGTTGGCTTCATCAGAACATGATCTCCAGCTGTCACTGGAGACGTTCACAGCCGAGTGGGAAGTGGCTGGCATGAGAATCAGCTCCTTTAAATGCGAGACCATGGTCTTGAGTTGGAAAGGGTAGACTGTTTTCTCCAGGTCAGGAACAAGGTCCTGCCCCAAGTGGAGGAGTTAAAGTATCTTAGGGCCTTCTTCACAAATGAGGGAAAATTGGAGCAGCAAATCAATAAGTGGATTGCTGCTGCTTCCACGGTGATGTGGGCATTGTACTAGTCTGTCGTTGTGAAGAGAGAGCTGAGACAGCAGTCAATCTATGTTCCAACTGTCTTCTATGTTCACAAGCTATGGGAAGTGAGAGTGCGGGTACAAGCGGCTGAAATTAGTCTTCGCTGCTGGGTTTCTGGGCTGTCCCTTAGAGAAAGAGTGGGAAGCTTGTTCATCCAGGAGTGGCTCTGAGTAGATCCACTGCACCTCCGCATCAGAAGAAGCCAGTTGAGGTGGCTTGGGCATCAGGTTAGGGATGCCTCCTTGGTGAGATATTTCAGGCATGTCCAACTGAGAAGAGACCTAAAGGAAGACTAAGGACACACTGGAGGGACTATGTTTCAGCTAGCTGGGGAATATTTTAGGCTTACACAAATGAAGCCTGCGAACTTCAGTACCCCTTAGCTGCCATCCCTGCCGATAGGGCTGCTCAATTAATCGAATTTTAATCACGATTACGATCTGAGTTTTGAACGATTATAAAAAACAAAACAAGCCGATTATTTGCTCCTCCCGCTTGTGCTGCCCTGAGTTGCAAATAAAGCCGGAGACAAGCCGGAAACAAATTCGGAGCCGGCTCCTTGTTGGATTAACCAGAGTGAGTGACACACACACCGCACCTGCGGACTCCTGAGCAGCTAAAAACAGCTAAATGTGCGCGTGCAGCGTGCTAAACACACGCGCAGCTTGCCCCGATTGCTGTGAGACCGGGTTGGGGGGTGGGGGGTGCAGCTGTGGTTGGGACAATTATTACATTAACTGATGGACCTGTAAATAAATAGTTTATAAATAAGGTAGAAATAAGTTCCTCACGCTGATAACTAATAACTAATCTCTCTGAGGACACGGTGCTAGTGCACTCTCCTACAGCACCTTGACACGACTCAATAAATGTTATGCAACATTTTGTGAACATCAATTTATTTGCATTTATTTGTTATAAATGCCACTGTATAATTCTTGCTGTCAGTATTTGCAAGATATTGGTATTTGGGTCTGTACTGGTTAGACCTAAATGAGTTAAACCAAGGTCTATAGCCCTTGGGTCATAAACTATGAGCTATAAGTATATTGGTCTTTTAATACTGGGAATCAGGAGTTATTTTAGTGATCATCTTGTTTCTTATTTTTGTCCTGATTGTGCCCTGAGCAATTTTATGACTGAATAAAAACAAATAACATCAACATAAATTGAAAAATCGTCCTAAATAATCGTGATCTCAATTTCAGTCACTAAAATCGTGATTATTATTTTTGCCATAATCGAGCAGCCCTACCTGCCAATAATGTGGTGATGCAAACTAAGCTGTGACAAAAAGAGCCTGATTAAGGATTGATGATTTAAGACAACAATAAAATTCAACCGTTTTAAAATACAAAGAACACCATGTTCGAACATAAGGATGCCCACCGGTACACTTGGTACCAGGGCAGCCTAGGTCGCAGGTCGATGATAGATTTTGTAGTCGTATCATCTGACCTGCGGCCGTATGTTTTGGACACCCGAGTGAAGAGAGGGGCGGAGCTGTCAACTGATCACCACCTGGTGGTGAGTTGGATCAGATGGCAAGGGAACATGCCGCGTAGACCTGGCAGACCCAAACGCATAGTGAGGGTCTGCTGGGAACGCCTGGCAGAAGAACCTGTCAAGACGGTCTTCAACTCCCACCTCCGGCAGAGCTTTGACCACGTCCCGAGAGCAGTGGGGGACATTGAGTCCGAGTGGGCCTTGTTCCACTCTGCGATTGTCGAGGCAGCTGTTGCTAGCTGTGGTCGTAAGGTGGCCGGTGCCAGTCGTGGTGGCAACCCCCGTACCCGCTGGTGGACACCAGAGGTTCGGGGAGCCGTCAGGCTGAAGAAGGAGGCCTACAGGGCGTGGCTGGTCTGTGGGTCTCCGGAGGCAGCAGACAGGTACCGGATAGCCAAGCGGGGTGCAGCAGTGGCAGTTGCCGAGGCAAAATCTCGGGCGTGGGAGGAGTTTGGTGAGGCCATGGAGAAAGACTATCGATCGGCTCCAAAGAGGTTCTGGCAAACTGTCCGGCGCCTCAGGAGAGGAAGGCAGCAACTCGCTCACACTGTTTACAGTGGGGATGGGGAGCTGCTGACGTCAACTGAGGCTATAGTCGGACGGTGGAAGGAATACTTTGAGGAGCTCCTCAATCCCACCAATGCGCATTCCGAGGAGGAACCAGAGCTGGGAGGCCTGGGGATGGACTGTCCGATCTCGGGGGCAGAAGTTGCTGAGGTAGTCAAACAACTACACAGCGGCGGAGCCCCGGGGGCGGATGAGGTTCGTCCTGGGTATCTCAAGGCTATGGATGTTGTAGGGCTGTCATGGTTGACACGTCTCTACAACATTGCGTGGTCATCGGGGGCAGTTCCTAGGGAGTGGCAGACCGGGGTGGTGGTCCCCATCTTTAAGAAGGGTGACCTGAGGGTGTGTTCCAACTATAGGGGGATCACACTCCTCAGCCTCCCTGGAAAGGTCTACTCCAAGGTACTGGAGAGGAGGGTCCGATCGATAGTTGAATCTCAGATAGAGGAGGAGCAATGTGGTTTTCGTTCTGGCCGTGGAACTGTGGACCAGCTCTATACCCTTGATAGGGTGATGGAGGGGGCATGGGAGTTTGCCCAACCAATCCACATGTGCTTTGTAGATTTGGAGAAGGCTTATGACCGTGTCCCCAGGGGCACCCTGTGGGGGACGCTCCAGGAGTATGGGGTGGGTGGCTTTCTGTTAAGGGCCATTCAGTCCCTTTACCAGAGGAGCGTGAGTTTGATCCGCATAGCCGGTAGTAAGTCGGACCTGTTCCCAGTGAGGGTTGGACTCCGCCAGGGCTGCCCTTTGTCACCGGTTCTGTTCATCACTTTTATGGACAGAATTTCTAGACGCAGCCGTGGTGTGGAGTGTGTCGAGTTTGGTGGCAGGAGAATCTCGTCTCTGCTTTTTGCGGATGATGTGGTCCTCCTAGCTTCATCCAGCTCTGACCTTCAGCTCTTGCTGGGTAGGTTCGCGGCCGAATGTGAAGCGGCTGGGATGAGGATCAGCACCTCCAAATCTGAGACCATGGTTCTCGACCGGAAAAGGGTGGCTTGCCACCTCCGGGTCGGGGGAGAGGTCCTACCTCAAGTGGAGGAGTTTAAGTATCTCGGGGTCTTGTTCACGAGTAAGGGTAGGAGGGATTGGGAGATCGACAGGCGGATTGGTTCGGCGTCTGCAGTGATGCGGACGCTGAGCCGATCTGTCGTGGGGAAGAGGGAGCTGAGCCAGAAAGCCAGGCTCTTGATTTACCGGTCGATCTACGTCCCAATCCTCACCTATGGTCATGAGCTTTGGGTAATGACCGAAAGAACGAGATCGCGGATACAAGCGGCCGAAATGAATTTCCTCCGTAGGGTGGCCGGGCTCAGCCTTAGAGATAGGGTGAGGAGCTCGGACATTCGGGAGGGACTCGGAGTAGAACCGCTGCTCCTCCGGATCGAAAGGAGCCAGTTGAGGTGGTTTGGGCATCTGGTCAGGATGCCTCCTGGACGCCTCCCCGGGGAGGTGTTTCGGGCATGTCCTGCCGGCAGAAGGCCCCCGGGTCGACCCAGGACACGTTGGAGAGGTTACATCTCCAATCTGGTCCGGGAACGCCTTGGGGTCCTGCCGGAGGAGCTGGTGGACAAGGCCGGGGAGAGGACGGCCTGGAGCTCCCTAGTTGGGATGCTGCCCCCGCGACCCGGACCCGGATAAGCGGAGGAAGACGACGACGACGACGTTTTAAAATATGAGGCATGTCCAAATTGGTCAAACACAAAACAAACAGAATATTAGATTACCTAACAACATTTTCATTGTGCTCTTTGTAACATAATAAATAATGATCCAAAATGTCAGAAGGAAGGAACCATTTGAAAACATGTTAGGTCTGTGATAGTATCAGGTATTTCTGTGAAATATTGTAAAAACAAACACTTCTTTATTTAAATAGCCTGTTTATTCAGAATAGAACTTAGTTTCAGCTACAACATGATTGGAACTGACAACAAACTCATAATATGATGTTAAAATTCCACCTATTTATCAGTTAGTGATTGCTGAAATTGTTTTTGGGGGTGCCATTCTGTAAAAATGCTTCCACAAACATTGTCGTATGTCTTTAGCTCTCAGGCAGTAAATTAGTGGATTGACCATTGGAGGGCCGAGGCTATAAAGCATTATAATCACTATTCGCACATCAGTGCTAAATACAATCCCAACATAGCTGGTTAAATAGACAAAACATCTGGGTAAATAATAGAGTGAGATAATTATCAAATGAGTACTACATGTAGACAGAGACTTAATACGATTTTTGAAACCTGCTATCTTACTTACATCTATGAGTATAGCAGAGTATGAAAAAACAATAAAGGAAAGAGGTACAAGAAGAGTAATCATTGCACCAACAAATGCAGCAAAGGAGTAAGGTGTCCTGTCAGTGCAGGCTAGTCCTGTTATTCCAACATGATCACAGAAACAGTGACTGATTTTATTTGGTCCACAAAATGGGAGAGGATATGCTCTAATAACTAATATCACTGGGACTATGATAGCAATGATCCATGCACTCAGACTGAGAAAGAATAAAGTTGTTTGTTTAAGATACGTTGCATATCTGAGAGGATGGCAGATTGCCAAATACCTATCAAAAGCCATCAGAAACAGAATGAAAGAATTTACTGAGCCGAGATAGTGAACAAAAAACATTTGTACAAAACAACCAGTAAAGGAAATTGTCCCGGCTTGAAACCAGTATCTGCTGATGATTTTAGGTAAAGTTGCTGTGCTGAAGAGAAGGTCACATGCTGACAGATTTAAAATGATATAATACATCGGCTTGTGAAGACACCGGTTAGTTGCAAATAAGTAAAACACTGTAATATTTGCAAGAACAGTCACAAAGTACACCAAGAACAAAACTGCAGAAGCAAGACCGTAGTATTCAGGATGAAGCCCAGGAAACCCAGTCAGTATGAACTCTGATACTCTGCTAGTATTCATCTCTGACATGTTGTGAAAGATCCTTTAAAAACTGAAACTCATTCAAGACATCAGAACTCACATTGAACCTTCATTTTGGAAATTTAACAAACAACAATTTATATTTTCTTAACAAAACAGTTATTTTAACTTTAACACTTAACCAGTGATTTATTTTTAATGATATGTACTCTTTGCAATAACAAACACAGTTCTTTACTATTTATGAACTAACACAAAGTGCAAGTACCTATTTCACAGACAGGGCAGCAGGACACTGATTTCTCTTCTGTTTGGTCATGGCCTAAGATGACTTTCTCTTACATGCTCCATGATGAAGGTGGAGTTATTGTCCGTCATTCCTATTCTCTATGGCCCTGTTCACATGGCAGGATTTGTTGGACAATTTTCAAAGCATGAGAGACCACACACGGGGATGAAAAATAACAGAAATGTTTTTTCCTACAGTGAGGAAAAACTACACACTGCCCAATTTAACACGCAAACATTCTCAGGTCGGACAGGAAGTCACACTAGATCAAACGTAATCACAGAGCTAGTATTAAACAGTGGCAGAAAAAGACAAAAATATGACAAAACGTATGTAACCCTTGGAATAATGGTGAATACTCTCAGAAATCTGTAAAATGCCCAGTATTGGCAGGTGAGGAAATGCATGGACATGGTGAAGCTAATGTGCTAAGTAGAAAATAGTTGATGAGCAGGGTAAATTGTTTTTATTAACACATTTTATTAAATCAGTTATTTTCTCTGTATTAATGGGGAAGTATGCTGGCCGGCAAAAAAAAAGTCGCCACCAAAAATAAGTTCACATAATCTAATATTTTGTCAGATTCCCGTCAGCTTTGATTTCGGCACACTTTTGCTGTGGTATTGTTTTGATAAGCTTCCACTATGTCACTAGATCTATTTCCATCTAGTGTGGCAATAATCTTTCATCAAGGTCTTGCATTGATGATGGTAGAGTCTGACTGCTGCACAAAGCCTTCTCCAGCACATCCCAAAGATTCTCAAGGGGGTTCAGGTCTGGACTCTGCGATGGCCAATCCATGTATAAAAATGATGTTTTATCTTCCCTGAACCACTCTTTCACAATTTGAACCTGATGAATCCTGGCATTGTCATCTTGGAATATGGCCGTGCCATCAGGGAAGATGGAATAACCTGGTCATTCTTGGAGCACATCCTGCTGCTGACCCTTGACCTGACCAACTGCAGAAACCCCAGATCATAATACTGCCCCCCCCCCCCCCCCCCCCCCCACACACACACACACACACAGGCTTGTACAATAGGTACTAGGCATGATGATATATATACTGTATATATATATATATATATATATATATATATATATATTAGGGCTGTATGATATTAGGAAAACCTGCGATGTTCGATAACAGTGCTTAATATTGCGATATCGATATTACTCACAATAAATGAACAAATACTAAAGAATGCAGTGTTGATGTCGTCTGGCGTGTGACGTCTGCTCTGGGTTCAAAGCAAACAAAAACTAATGCATGAATTCCATTACAACATAACATTTTTATTGCAAAAATATGCAGCTGAACCTGCTACTGTATTAGCAGCAAAACAACAAACTGCATGCATGCAGTTTCTCAGCGACTTTAAAACATCACCACCACCATAAAACTTTTTCTGATGCTCCAAATACAGAAAAACATCCCTTACCAGGGTTTTTTGAAGAAATAAAAAAAATCAGAAAATAAGTTTAAATGTTAAATAATAGTTAACATCACTTACATGCAACAGCAAACTCTCTCATTGCTACTGAACATTTTCTCCACATATGTGGTTATGATATAAGGCTGTTGCTGTAATTGGGAAGTGAACTGTGCTGGGCCAAACATTTGTACAAAACAAGCAGTGAAAGAAATTGTCCTGGCTTGAAACCAGTATCTGCTGATGATTTTAGGTAAAGTTGCAGTTCTGAAGAGAAGGTCACATGTTGACAGATTTAAAATGATAAAATACATCTGCTTGTGAAGACAACGGTTAGTTCCAAATAAGTAAAAAACTGTAATATTTGCAAGAAGAGCCACAAAGTAAACTAAGAACAAAACAGTAGAAACAAGACCGTAGTATTCAGGTTGAAGGCCAGGGAACCCAGTTAGTATGAACTCCGTCACTTTGCTGTTATTCATTTCTGACAGCATGCTGAAGAAACAAAAGATACTCATTCAAGACATGTTAACTACCATTTAACCCTAACATCGGACATTTAAATTAGGCAGAATACATATGATCACAATTATCCTTTCAATTTGTTCATTTTACAGATATTTTTACCCACCTCTAATCATTCATTCATTGTTCACATATTTATTGTTTTGTATTTCCACTACTAGACTGTCTTATTACAAGGAAGTACATATTAAACTATTGTGTGTCTGTTTAGTTAAGAAGTAAGTATAACAAAGAACTAGAAAACACTGATTTGTCTTCTGTTTGGTTACTGGCTTAAAGGACTTTCTCCTGCATGCTCCATGATGAAGGTGGAGTTATTGTCATCATTTCTTCTCTAGGATTTAAACTTTCCTTAAATGAATGACAGAAACTAACCCTTCCATATTTATTTGACTTTTACATATCAATACCAATTACTTGGATGGTCAGTATGACAAGGATCTTTATGTTTCTGTTTAGCATGCTTTACTTTGTACTAAACAGGAAGTTCCAAGTTTCAGTGTTAAACATAAAATAGAAGAATGAACACTGAAGCAGCCCTATGTACTATAATCCGTACTACTTTCATCATTAAACAAACTATGTTACCAATAAGTTTCAATTATTGTCTTCTATCACTAATAATATATAATTTGCTTTGGTTTGTATTGTAGACATTTTTATATTAAATTAAATCAAATCAAAGTTATTTCTATGGCACTTAAAAAAACACTTTACCAATCAAAGTGTTTAGCAAAGATAAAAATAAAACATAAAAGACCCTGAAAACGGAAACTGCCTTGGAAAAAAGCAGCAAATAACATACAATGTTACGCTTAGTCGAACAAACGAACAATTAGGAAATTATAAAAATAAAGGGACAGTGTCACACTCTTTAGAGCCAAGGAATAAAATATGTGTTTAAATATAGAATAGAATAGAATTCATTGATCCCACAGTGGGGAAATGTACTTGTTGCAGCAGCACCAGTGCTTAAGAGGATTATTTGAAGAAAGATAATAACAAAGGTACATGTATATACACATAGGCAGTAATCTAGAATTGTAACCTACGACCACTAAAAACCACGAATAAAAAAATTAAAAAACTGAAAAAACTTGGGTTCCAACATGCAGCCTACTGCAAGAGACACAGACATACAATGTAAGTCCGGTATTGCATTGGTGGTATTGTGTATCATAATATTGCCAGTACAGCTTAAACTGAGGAGTTATACACTCTTGCAGCAGAGGGGAAGAAAGATCTACGGTTTTACATCTGGGATGTCTCAGTCTGCCTCTGAAGGAGTTGTCCATGGTCTCCACAGTGGAATGCAGTGGGTGGGAGGTTTATTTTAAGATGGTGGTCACCTTCCCCAGCATCCTCCTTTCATAAATCTCCTCAACTGTGGGCAGCCCAGAACCGAGCTAGCTTTGTGGACTAGCTTGTTCAGTCTCTTCCTGTTTCGGTCAGAGCTGCCTGCACCCCAACAGACCACTGCCTGCACCCCAACAGACCACAGCAGAATGCATAACAGAGCCAACCACAGAGTGATAAAAGGATTTTAGCAGCTGGGAATTTACTCCGAAGAACTTCAGCCTCCTCAAGAGGCGGAGGTGGCTTAGATCCTTCTTATACAGAGCATTTGTGTTGTTGGACCAGGTCAGTTTACTGTTGAAGTGAACACCCAGGTACTTAAAGGTATCCACCACCTCAAAGTCTGCTCTCTGAATGTTTACTGGTGAGTGAGGAGTGTTTCTCTGGAAGTCAATCGCCTTTTCCTTTGTCTTACTGGTGTTCAAGTGAAGATGGTTACACTCACACCAGTCCACAAATTCAATGATGACACGCAGCCGACAATGGCCGAGTCACCAGAGAACTTCTGGAGGTGACAGCTGCTGATGTTGTAGGTGATGTCAGAGGTGTAAACGGGAAGAGAAAGTGTGAGAGCACCATACCCTGTGGAGCTCCAGTACTGCACACTTACCCCAAAATTCCACTACCTCCGCTCCGCTCCGGCACGAACTCCGCAGCAAAATCAGTCCCGTTGTGGTCAATCAGAGCTGTTCCAGTACTACGGCTGTGCGGCGCAGTGCGCCGCCTGCCGTTCCGCCATCCGGCAAAAATAGGATCGATTCTATTTTTGCTGGACGCCGGAGTACCTCCGCAGTCAATGGACAGAAATCACAACCGCCCAACAGGAAAGGGAGCAAGCACAACTTCCATTATTTCACAATAAATCGATAAACAAAAAGCGTTTTTTGTTTCATATGCACAGGTTTAACAACATTTAACAACTATCAATGGCGGCTGAACTTTAAATGCACAAAAATAAGCCATTAATACAGTTTCCACCATCAAAGTAGTCGCCCTTTGTTGATCCAAACACTGCTGATCTCTCAACACAAATGGTAGGCAGATTAAACAGTTCATTTTGATGCTTCTCCCACACAACGGGTGTTTGGATCTAACTTCCGCGTTTATTGCTCGGACTGTCGCAAGATCTCGAAAATTCCGCGCATGCCTATTTGCGCACCTCAGGTCTCCGCACCGAAGCGGAGCCATTGTAGAGCGGGTACCAGTAAAAATTGAGTTCGGAAGCGAGCGGCTGCGGAAGGCGGGGGCGGAGCGGAGGTAGTGGAATTTTGGGGTTACCACCTCAGACGTACAATTGTGCATCCTCCCCAACTGTGTCCTGTTGGTGAGGTAGTTGATGGTCCATGCAGTCAGATGTTCGATTCAAAAGTAAAATCTGAAGCAATTTGAAAATTAACTAGCAGACTGTTCCAAAGCTTAGAGCGGAGTTGCTCAACCGTGGTCCTCAACACCACCATGTCCTACATGTTTTAGATGTTTCCCACCAACAGGCTTCTTCCACACTTGATGTCGTCCTTATTAACCC